ATTCACTGTTCTTTCATAATATCTTGTATTTATTTGCATTATAAAAAACTCTAGAACATTTCATTATAATTATTACTTTAAAACATCTGTCTTCTTCCACAGACTTTAAGTTACTTTAGATGACAGCTGAAGGTTTTTATTCATATTTGTATTCCCAACATAAAGGCAAGTGACAGGAAATGTTTGCTAAGCTAATTCACAAGGCATAATTGGATGTATGAAATGACATAGTGTGTTTGGGAGTTCTGTGAACTGGCAGCCTCTAGACAAATAGGAGGCACTGTTGCCATCTTTGTGGTACCCGTGAATCACAGCCTTGTCTCTGACTCTTAGTTCTTCTCTACAAAGGCCCCAAAACCTTGTCCAAATTGTCATTTTATGCAGACATTCCTACCCCATTCAAATGAGGTGTTCTTCATGTTGAATTCAACAAGTCTTTTAACGTGTGTGTGTGTGTGTGTGTGTGTGTGTGTGTGTGTGTGTGTGTGAGATTGATGTATATGCGAATGTAAGTATGTATGCTTATGGACATGTACAAGCCATGGTATGTGTGAGGACATCAGAGCACAATTTCAGGGAGCCACTGATTTCTACAACATGGGTCCCTGGCATTGAACTCAGGTTGTCAGGCGTGGTAATAAGTGCCTTTATTCGTGAAGCCATGTTGGAAACCTAGCATGTCATAGTTGGTACAAAAAAGAAAAAAATGTAAAACCCTTATCTTAAACTCTGGATTCTTAGAATAGAAAAGAATAAAGTCATTCGTGGATATATAAAATGGAAGGCAGCGGACTGTTTGAGGTTAGCACCTCCACTTCTGCAGGCTGTCCTCTGAAGTCACTGCTGGCTGAAAGAGTTGAGATCTCACCTGACAGACTGCACATAGAGTCCATCTTTCCATATTGACATTTTGGAACAACTCTTCTGCAAGTGGAAGAAAAATCATTTGTGTATGCAAAAGTGCACTAGCACAACTCCAGTCTTTGGAAGTCATCCCATAAGTGACCCTATTGAAGTTTAAGGAGCCTTGGGTGGGTGAGTCTTTTAGATGTCAGTTTCAGGAAGTCTGTTTCTGCACAGAGCAAGAGTCAATGGCATTGGAGGTAGAGTCCAAGATTGGGAAGATATATTACCTTGAAACTCCTCTGTGTTTGGGAATACCAAATGCTATGGTGGGAGCACTTAGCAAGACAAAGATCTTTGTTGGGGAAGTCCTGTGCATTTGTCAATAAAGTACTGTCTGGCCAATGGGGAATCTAGATAGGAGGGGCTAGGAGTCCAGGAGGATTCTGGGTAGGAGAAACACAAAGAGTTCGAGATGTAAAGCCAAGGGGTAGGAGCCCGGAACTATTCTCCGGTAAGAGACATACTTAGATTAACAATTATGGGGTAATTACTTAAGTCAGAGCTAGCCAGTAAGAAACAAGCAAAGGCCAACAGCTTCATAATTAATACAGCGTCTTGTGTGTTTATTTGGGGACTACAATGTGGCAGAGCCCAGGCGACTGGCGGGTGATAAACCAAAGCAGCTAGCAAAGAAAAAGCTTCTCTTTACAGATCTTCAACTCATAGCCAAGCTGAGAGAGAGAGGAAGAAGGGACTGGAATCCAAATACACTTCTCTCAAGGGCATCACCCAGTGACTGAAGACCTACCTCATGCTGTGTTCTACTTCTCTGGGTTCTACTTGCTAATAGTGCCATGAGCTGCAGGGTCAAGCTCTAACCCTTAAGCCTTTGATGAGCATGCCCTGGAGCCAATTGAGGTAGAGAAGGGTGTGGGGGCAGCGGATATGGATGGTAGATCACACGCAGCCACGTTGTCTGACCTGGTAAAAGAAGATGCCTCTGTGCTCCTTAGCGTGTATAAGGAGCATAGAACAATGTGAGGCTCATGTGAATTAACAAAGCAGCAGTCATGACTAAGGTTGCCCCTTCTCCTAGAAAGCTCAATATTACCTATTAATCTTATATTAATTACACTCCTACCTAGGAATTAAAATACTTTGCAAGCTAATCTCTTCTTGTTCTTCTGGAGTTTTCCCTTCTTTACCTACATATTCCCATTCGAGTTCCATTTTTTTCCACACATAGTTTCAGGATAGTGTAGAAGAGGAATCAGATGCCTAGACTTAAAATGACACATACTGGGCATATATTCAGTCCGCCTAGTTTTGCTATTGAGTGAAAACAGTGGTAATGGGACAAGTTGTGTAGTGTGATGGTTGAGAGAATGGCTTCCAACTTTGAAGTGAGTTTAGGACATTACCTCGATATCACTTCTCCAGTTCATCCTTGAAATCAAGAACTGATAGGATTATGGGAAACATTAAATGAGATAATAAAACAGCACAGGTGCTGGGGAGTACACATGTGGGTATTCATGTACATGTGCGCTCATACATGTGGGGGCCAGAAGTCAATCCTAGGTGCTGTGCCTCAGGGGCTGCTCACCTTGCTTTTTGAAACCCATCTGTCACTGGGACTTGGGACTTGCCAGTTAGGGGAGGCTAGCTGGATGGCAAGCTCCAGGCACCTGCCTGCATCCACTTCCTCAGCACAGAGATTACCAGCATCTGCCAGGATGCATGGTTTTTGATGGGTGCTAGGATATCAGACCCAAGGTCTCATGTTTTCTCAGCAAGCACTTTACCAGCTTCAGCTGGCCCGCCCCCACTCAGGCCCTAGTGTTTACTTCGAATTGGAACTAAGGCTAAAGGTTTTCCTGCAGCATTATACCTATCTTATTTCTTGTTGTTGTTTAAGTGTGTGCCTTAATGCGTTACTTAAAATGTAGACAACTTTGTTTGGGGGCTTTGGGCCAAAGGAAAAATGGAAAAAAAGTATTAGGAACAGAGAGTCTAATCTGACCTGTCAATGACTCCATCCTCCTCTGGCTTCCCCATCCAGTAGCTTGTGCATATGGGGTAATTAACAATTCAAATTTCACTCAAAAGAGAAAATACTAAGCTTAATCTCTTCTCCTTCCTGTTATTTTTAATTGTGTATATTTTGTTTCTAAACGTGGTTCTTTGGGAAAAACAGAATATGTTTACTACAGAAAAACACATATCCTTTTAGCTTAGTAAATTTGGAAGCAAAAGTTTGTCTCCATGGTAAGAAGATGAGCAAGGAGTAGTATTAATAGACATTAGCACAGTGGTAATTGACATTTTAAAGTATAAAGGAAGGCCTCTTCAGCCTCCCCACCTAAAACAGTACCATGAGCTCTAAGTTGGGTTAAACTGGTGAACGAGAAAGAAGCCAGCTATACATGACAGCTCAGAGTGAGTCAGCGGTTAGCCTTCCTGGAAGTGTGGGAAGCAGGTGCCTTTTGGCCCCACAGCACAGGGAAGCTTAATTGATCCTCCATTGTTTGGGAGAAAAGCTTTGAAGATACTTCTGATTGCTAAGTGACAGAATCACAGACACAGAATCTTGCACTAATCCTTGAATCCTGAAGTTGCTAAAGAGATAGAACCTCAGTGGGCATAAGAACCTACAGGGTTAAGGATAAACTAGCATTTTTATTTATTATCCAGGCACTAGGCAATCACTTCCTTTCTCTCAGCTTTTTCTCTAGGTCTTCATGCCTAGTCTAAGGGAGTTCCTCCCCCTGTATTATTTTCCACACTGTGTGCTGGCAGGATCTGTTTATTCTTTCCTGTTTCTCCAAGCGATTGAAAGTCTGCAAAGTTACTTGGGGGTAATATAGTGCATCCCTTTTTAGCTGTTATCATCTAAATGTTTTGAGATATCTTTTGCTCTGCCCTCTGTTGTCCTATCTGTATTTTCTTATTTTTTCCTTTCCATTCATTTACATGGTTATACTCTAAAATAGAAAGACTTTTAATACACCTATTAACCTGACAAGATATTGATAAATAATAAATCTTAAGAGCACACACAAACACATACAAGGTGTATGTACATGTTCTTATTAAACATGTGTGTGCAAGCGCATGTCTAGACTTGTACATGTGGAAGGCAGTGGTTGATGTCGAGTGTTTTCCTCAGCCCCTCTCCACCTTAGTTTTTGAGACGTGGTTTTTCGTTGGAACTGGACCTCCATCAGTTCAGGTAGACAGACTGGCCACTGGGATCTCAGAATCTGCTGTTCCTCTTCCCTTCCCTCCCCCCCAGTTCTGGGGCTGCAGATTCACTGCATCTGCACTTAGCCTTTCATGTTGCTGGGGATCTGAACCCAGGTCCTCATGCTTCTGTTTCAGGCACTTCAAAGACAGATCGATCTCCCCAGACCCCTAAGCGTATCAATGTTATGGCTACTGCCCCTTTGAGAAGTCTTGGAATGATGCTCACATAGGCTTTGGAATTGATTTCAGAACCATTTCTCAAGAAACTCACCCTGCTTCCACCATGCAGCAAGAACTTCCTGTTTTAGTCAGATTGGCATTACTAACCTAACTGGTGTGGCGATATCTGATACCAAATACCTTTGATAGCTTTCATAGCTCGTGGCAGTTGTATGGAATGAAAATGCAGGCTAATGAAGATTTTTAGAAGAACATGGAACATATCCTAAAATACAAAATTCTGCTTGGATAATAGCAGAAAAATTGATTAAAGGCTAATTCCTAAGGACTTTAGAATGGTAACTTCATTTTCTAGATAGGTTTCCATATTTCTGGTAATGAGTTAGTTTAATTGAACATGAACATAAATAAAGAGGATCGTAGTTTTTATGACATTTATTTTGCACAGTGTGTGGGCATGTTCATCTTGTAGAGCACAGAGTTCAGAGGGTTCCTTGTGGGAACCAATTCTTTCCTTACACTATGTGAATCCTAGAAATTTGAACTCAGGTCATCAATTTTGGCAGCTAGTGCTTATGATACACACTGAATCATCCCTCCAGTCCCTCAAATATATATATATATATATATATATATATATATGTATATATATATATCCACCCACAGGTACATATAGAGAATATGTTTTAATAACAGCATTAGCAATATGTCTGCCTTATTGTCTCTAGGTCTATATTTCATAAGAAACAGCTGCTGGAGTTTGCTCAACTTGGCTGCTACTTGGAGTATGATCTCTTTGGTACGGAGCTCCTTAATTACCAGTTCAGCCCAGATATCGATATGCCTGATGATAACAAAAGAATTAGAAGGTAAATATGCTGGAGTCTCTCATCACATTCTCTTCTGCCAACACTTTTGGCTTGTCATAGTTGGGTGAGTATTAGCAAAGATTTGGAAAAGAGTAAGCAGGCTGAAGTAGCCTTGGCAGAGAAAAATATATCTGAGCTGCTCCGGGGAGAAAATCTCTATATTTTATTTCAAGAAGAAAATGAGTCATTGTAAGTAGGCTAAAGCTATCAGAGCCTTAGAAGTTCAGTGCAGATGGACAGCTGACAAGAAACAGAAAATACCCTACCTTTGCCATGACAAGGAGAGAATGAAAGCCATTTTCCCCTTTTACCCATAGTGGAATCAGTACTTCCTTCCTCAGGTTGATTTCTCTAAAGCCACGATTTTCTGCAACTGTCATTTAAAATGTTTTATTAGATGTATCTATTAAGGTGGTGGTTACAAAGTAAATGCTAAGATGCCACATGTAAACACCACACATCACATCTTCCCAAAATTGTCTAATGTGTGATAAAGCAAATCACAACAGCATTGACTCTTTGATGAAGTCAAAGATGGCTACATTGATTGGTCTTGGTCACAGGGTGACATGAAGATTGACGATTAACTGAATAGGGAAACAGAGAGGAGAAATACATCTGAGATTGACAAAGAAGACTTTAGCTTAGGAGTATCTAAGCACTGTTATGCCTAAAATAATAACTAACATCAGAGTGTGAAGCTCAGAGTGAGGATCTAGACTGAGACATAAAAGTAGACATAATCTGTTTGTATGAGCTTGTTCAAATCTTGGGAATACTAAGATCATGGAGAGAAGAAAGAGGACAGAGACCTGGAGACACAGATATTGAATAGATAGAGTCAATAACAGCATCTTAGGGACAGATAGGTAGGGATGTTTTCAACCTGATAACATCAGGGGAAATGTAATATTTCAGTGAGAAGAGAGGCTTAAACTCAAAGGCTTGAATGCCTACGATAGACAGCAGATATCAAGAAGGATCAAGGCTGAAGGTTAACAACTGGGTTGCAAATTAGGAGACTTGTAGTCAGGAAGCGTGGTCTTGGTAGAAGGCTTCAGAGATGAGTAGGAGCTAAGGAAGGGGCAGAGAATGTGAAGGTTACTCTTTGCAAGAGCGTGGGAGTAGAGAGAAACAGGGAGGAGAGCTAGTGCTAGAGGACAACAGGTGATCCAGAGAAACGTTTTCCAGAGCTCAACAGTTTATGAAGCTCAAATCAGAAGTAGGGAGGGACAGACAGAGAGAGAATGGGTCCAAAGCAATTCTGAAAGATTAATACACATCTATATAATATACAGTATGCAGAGTTTTTATATGAATGTATGGTACCGAATATGGAAATATTTGATGAATGTTCACACAAAGATATATGGAAAGATAAATATAGATCCAGGTGCCTAAAGAAACCAAGGAGTGGAATCTGGGAGTGGGTACCACATTTTTTGAGAGAGAATTTCTCTTTTGCAATGGGAAAACAGGAAGCAAACAGTAATGTTGATACAAATAAATGTCTTAGCAAGAAGATCCAGAACTGCCGGGCGTTGGTGGCACACTCCTTTAATCCCAGCACTTGGGAGGCAGAGGCAGGCGGATCTCTATGAGTTCGAGGCCAGCCTGGTCTACAAAGTGAGTTCCAGGACAGCCTCCAAAGCCACAGAGAAACCCTGTCTCGAAAAAAAAAAAAAAAAGAAGATCCAGAACTAAGGCTGAGTACCTTTGTGTTCTCCAGTCTTCATGTGAGGCAGACAGGATTGTCTCTGGAGAAAGAAGGGATAGATTAAAGGTGGGGTCTTGTGGAGAACAGGAAAGAACAGGAATGGCTGCTGAGTTGGAGGCATGTTTCTGAGACCCATACAAGCCTGGAAATCATGGCTGCATGACTGTGTTGGCACTAGTGCACATTTCTTACTGATTGTTTTCCCAAAGGATGTTTTTAATATTGAAAAATAGTGTTAGTGAAGCATTGTGGGTCAAAGAACTAAATGGGAACACAAATCTAGGATTGGGATTTTTATCTGAAAGATGCAGTTGATAGCCAGGGGAGCAGAGGAAGGGTTGAAATGAGAGACAGGGAGTAAAAGCTGGGGGTAAGGTACATGAAGAAACGTGTATGTATTTAGAAATAACTAAACAGAAAAGTTGAGTTATAGGCTTTAAAGAAGTGCATGAGTATGTAAAGTAGGGCAAGTGAAAACAGTACAAAGAAGTTGAATTATGAGCATGGGAAACTGAAGATTAAGATTTCAGAGAGAGCAGTCCTGAAATGACAAGGGCCTGTGATAACAAGGACCAAAACTCAAGGGTTTTGTGTAGGAAACTGATGGGATGGGAGTGAGCAAAACGAGAACTGAGAAATAATGTCCACAAGCTGAGACAGATATCAGTAGTTGAACATGCATACAGTGGGGTTGAGGGGACCATCCCAAGCCCATATTCATTTCAAACGAGCTGAAGATCGTTCCCTCGGGAAGGTGACCTTTATTTCTCTGTGTTTTCCTAGACTACTATATATTGACATTTGTCTACAATGGTCCCAGTAACGGTAAAATATGCTTCCACTTCAGTGTCATTAGGTAGAGATAGCTAGCCGATATTTACATTAGTTGTGTCAAGTGAAGACTATTCCATATAGTAAAGTACTTCCTCAACCTGACCAATGAAGCTGTCATCTTTGTTTTTGATACTTGAACTAGTTCTTTGGCAAATCAACCCGTTGCCTCTTTTTCTTCCTTTTGTGTATATCTGTGTAGTATGCAGGCATCTTTGAGGCAAATGAACATGTCTGCATGAGTATGCAGAGGTCAGAGGTTAAGAGTGAGTGTCTTTCTGTTAGCTCTTCACCTTCTATACTGAAAGAGGTCTCTAGCTAGCCAGCATGCTCCAGGGACCCCCTGATTCTACCTTCCAAGGCTGGCATTACAAGTGGGCTACCGTATTGGCCCGCCTTTTTTATGTGGGTATTGAAGTTCTGAACGCTGGTCTTCACTCTTAACATAGCAATGCTTTACCTGCTCAGACATCTCCCCAGTCTCTATTGGTTCTTATCACTTATTTTGTTTCATGGTTTTAATTTTTCTGGACAAACAAGTTTATTTAAGGCTCTACCAATTTGTGCCAGACTCAGGGGTAAAATTTCTTTGTCCATAGACTTGGATTTTAAAATGATGTGCTACAGTAAGTTATCATCTTTCATTATCTCAAGGTAAGACAAACCAAAGCATGGGGCTGGAGAGATGGCTCAGCAGTTAACATTACTTCTGTTGGAGAGAGTTGGAGCTTGGTTCCCAGCACCAACTTCAGGAACTTACAACAACTTATAACTATCGTTCCAGCGGATCTGATGCCCACTTTTGAGTTCCACAGGCTTCTGCATGCATATGCTGTACCTAAATGCGCATGCGCGCGCGCGCGCGCGCACACACACACACACACACACACACACACACACACACACACACACCACAAATTCTTTTTCAAGCAGGTCTTCAATAACTCTTTCATGATGAATGTCTTCAATATATTTTAAATTCAGTTTGGAATGAGAATTTTCCACTCTTCAGTTTGGAATGGGAGGTTTCTACTGTGGATCTACTTTTTCTTGGCCAGGGGGGTGTGTCTTTATATCACCGTGCCTCTGTGAGATTCCCAGGCCCTCTGGAACAAGAAAGGGGATATGATAATAGAGAAATGACTTATGGCTTCCCAATCAATCCTTTGTAACCACTTTGGTAATTTTGGTTATCTCTTATTGTGCCAATGTAATCACTCTTTATGTGTTAAACATTGAATGATATGTATATGTGTGAATATGAAATATCTGTGTATGCTGTATGTGTGTGTGTGTGTATTTCTTGCTTGTTTGTCCTTAAATCAACACCATGCACTTGTTCAGTCTTCCAAGCTAGTGATAATAACTGAATGAGCTTTGGGGTTGTGTGCATTCCCAACCCCCACCGTTCCCATGTATTCATTCATTGGCAGTCTTTTCTCAGCCATGGGAATCTGCAGTTCCCCAAGTGCGGGAATGTAGACACACGCTTCTGCCTACCTCTGGTTCTCAGAACCAGAAATTCTGTGTCTAACACCTGTTTTCAATCTTACGCTCCATTTCTCAAATCTTATTATATCTCTGCCTTTTCACACTTTGTAGTCTCTCTCTAATATTTGTTTGCAAAACATGGACTCATTTGTATTGCTATAATTACTATGATTTTTGTCTTCTCATCTGTAGTGGTTCCTCCCTCCCTCTCTCCCGGTAGCATCTTTGTAACTCTTGTTCTTCTGCACAGTGCCACGTCATCGGAGAGGGACTCTCAGAGTAGGCATGTCCAGACACTTGCCAGTCATGGCCAGCGTATGATTGTGTTTCTGGAACCAGAATATTATCGTGTTCATGTGAAAACACAGCTCTTCAGCCTTGACTTCATTGTGATTTCTAAGAGTTTCCTCCCCCGCTCCCTACCCCCACCCCCCCCCACATGAATTTATTCAGAGTTTAGCCGAAATAGGATAGGAAGGACTCCCAAGTTTTTCTTCTCCTTTAGGGGGGAGGTGTTACAATTTGGTAGGGTCCTCATTTTTAATTATAAGCATTCAATCCATTATATTCTCTCCTGCGACTTCCCAATGTAAGAACCACGTGTTTCAAAGAGGAATAAAAGCATATTGTAGGAAGTTTTCTGTATGTGTGTCATGGTAGTAGTGACACATGGAAGTTCTCAGAAAAGCAACCGCTCTACCACTGAGCTACAGCAGCAGCTTGAAGAGAAATGGCCCAGTTTTTCTTTCATTGCTTTGGAGGGGGAAAAAACTCCAAAACAGTCCAGGTGGGTGACCCTGGAGTGACCTGAGGCCAAGGGTAAGCTGAAGCTCCAGCTCCTCCAACTTCAGCCTCTGGGGTGGGATTACATTACAGACCTGTGTGTCTCACCACACCTTTTTGGGCAGTGCTAGGCATTGAGTCCAGATCCGATGATGCACTAGGTCTAAGGTCTACCTGCTTTTCTGAGCAGGAGATGTAGTAGGTCTCAGATAATAAGGAAATATGTAAAATCTCAGAACTGCTCAGGAAAATCAATTGGGAAGCAAGTACATCCCAAAAGCTCCCCTTCTGGCGACATTCTCTTCTGCAGTCATCCTGGGGGTCAACACTGTGCATGTGTTCTCTCAAACTTGTCCCTTTGAGTGGTAAATAATCATATGACACTGTTAGCTAGTCCCCCTGAACTACAGTTTCTTCAAAAAATAACTGCAGATCAGGACTTCAGGACCAGTTTTAACAAGCCAAATAACCTTAGAGGCATAAATGAGGTCACAGGTGCCATGCTGCTGTAAGACAGGCATAGCATCTGTGTGCCTGTTGAATGCTGATTTCTTTACCAAACACCCAGATTGACTCTGTTCCATGGCACTCCCATTCTTTTGACCTTCAGATAGGTCTAGTATTCAATTGTAACGCATTTTAAAGGTTCTCAGAGGGCAGATTATTGTAGCTTGAATTTTTATGCGCAGTGTCCCGTGAATACTGTAGTAGTTATTAAATAGGACTCACGCCTGAGAATAGCAAGAAATGCCGCTATCTATCTATTAAAACAAGACTTTTCAAATAGTTGGCTCCCAGAGGAAGAGCATGATCCATCCACCTACGTCCATTTGGTATTCTTGACACTCAAAAGAATGTACAAGAATCCCAAAGAAAAGTCTTTGTTTGCAAGTTGTACCTCTGACATCAAAGGCCCATGGTGGTCAGGGACAGACACTGCCCAGAGTGCAGACGCATACAGATGGTGGCTGTCAGGAGGTGACTCATGCTGCAGATTACAACTCTTAACTAGGCAAAGAGGATTACATTTTTTTTACAGCCAGGAAGCTGTCTTTTAGTCAACTGACTATAGATTTAAAGGAACAGCTCTCTATTTTAGCAGTCTTGTTGGCAAGGAAGATAAACTAAAAACCTTTGGTCAGTTTCATCTAATGCTTAGAGACTACCACTAAGTCAGAATTCCTGTAGACTGCAGAGGAACAGATGGCTTGAATCCAGAGAACTTTGCCAACCCATCTTCATCAACTGTATAACCACATAGCATGGGCCTTGCACTTGAAAATCAGCTGATTTTACTCCAAGTATTTTATTCATATGAAGAATCCTTTTGTTTCTATATTTTAATCACAAACGCCCACTGACTTTAAAAGAGAGAAAGAGGGAGAATGGTATTTCAAAATTGAGCCTAAGACAAGCATTTTAGAGAGGAGAGCCAAATATAAAATTATTCAGTGAACTGCTCTTGTGGCCATTCATTCAAATGCCCTAACCACAGTAAACTCTGTCTAGGGCAGCATTGCCAGACACTGTCAGAAATATCACTGGGCAGAAATTTCTGTGTGCGCAGAATAAGGATCTCATTCATCTTAGTGTGAAGTGACACCTGCATCTTCACCACACAGTGTTCATTGAGAGTCTCCTGGTACATACGCAACAGCAAAAGGCAGAATCTTTACAAGCCCAGTACCCTCGGGAGTGGAAGGTAGCATCCAAAATGTGAGAGTGACAGCATGGAATGAGTTAACATTTTTCCCCCCAGGGTCCGTTTCCTGGTGGATGAGGGCTATGAAGATCGGATTCTCGTGGCACACGACATACACACGAAACACCGACTGATGAAGTATGGAGGCCATGGCTACTCACATATTCTCACCAACATTGTTCCTAAGATGCTCCTCAGAGGAATAACTGAGAGGGCAGTTGATAAGATCCTCATAGAAAACCCTAGACAATGGCTGACTTTTAAATAGAATGACTGTTTATGAACACAGACCTAGAGTGCAGAGAATATTAGGTGATTTCCAATCTACTATGACACGTTAATCCAAGCTATACAGGACCAATGACTGATCACTTCCCTCCTATGAGAAACTCGATAACTATCACAGGGAAGTCTCTGGTGGGGGCTACTGGGTTTAAGTGAGTCCTATTGTCTTACCTTAATAAAACAAATACAAAAGAGTGTGTTTCCAAACAATAATTTAGAGATATATCTCCCAAGAGGCATTTTGAATCTTTTTCCCCCTGACTCTATCATCTATATTACTTGAGAAAAATTATAGTGTTTCTAGTTAAGTTGCCCCCTCCTGGAGCAATCTAATGTTTCTTGTAATATTGATGATCCTACTAATTATCCTGCTGTTCTTTAATTAATGCTTAATGAATAATATGGCATTTTCAAATCACTTTTGCAACAAGGGAAGTTAAATTTTGAGACTTTTTTCCAAAGGAAACTGCAATAAAATTACCAGTTCACAACAATAAAAATATTTTGGAAGGTTAACTGTGTCTTGCACCTATGTAAACTTATAATAAATCATTATCACTGACTCTGGCTTTCTGGTCGCCATTTTTGCTGTTAGTTGTGTGTTGTGTTTGCAAAACCTGTCTAAGAACATATAATAATAGTGAATTATAAAAATGAAATCATAAAAGTAAAAATATATTACATAATATAGTTTAATGAATCATTACAGTTATAATAACAAAGGCCACAATTTAATTAATAAGTTATAATGCAAAGAAAAAGAGAAATGCTTGCCTTATATATAATCCCATTATTTCATTTACCTTTTATTTCTTTTTTCCTCGGGCCTAAACAGAGAAAATAATGCTTATTTATCTAAAGAAAAGGTCAGATCTATTGGAAATGACAGTCTGTTTGTAAATGTTACTCTTCAGAAGAGATCCAGTCATGAAGTTCTTTGCTAATAATGCCTTTTCAAAATTGTTAGTTAAGTTGCTTAATTGATGTACACTGTTGTTTGTGAGCTAATCCCTTGATCCTCACTGCCAATCCATCTTTGAAAAATATATGCTGTTAAATAGAAATTAAAACTGTGGCAATTCATTTATGAGTTACCTTACATATCAGAACAGCCAAATTCAGTTACTACTCTTGATGAATTATCTGTTTTTTTTATCATAGAAATCATGACGGTTACTCAGACCAAGGCATTTAAACACAGCAGACACCACCTTTAGATGGGAACACCATGCGTGTGTCTTGGGAAGTCGAGGTTTTGCTAAACTAAAGCTATTTCAGTTGATCATAGCTGATCAAGCTTTCTGTGTATTAGAACAAAAAGTACCAAAGTGAAATGAGCCAGAGGAACAGCCCCATTGCTTTAAAGGGGAAAATGCAAATGTCCTTCACCAGGAAAGCAAGCAGATTTTTAAATTTCTGGTTTTGAAATCTACTTGTCAAAGAGTGTTTAAAGGCAACTGAAAGGAGAACAGATTTTCCATTGTAAGAAGGGAAGTTGTGTGCTAGTAGGATGTATTCTCATGCATGTTGATCTTTTCCTTAGATTATAGAGATAGCTCTTGGCAGTGTGTTTTAACTAGAGAGAATGGGTTTGCACTATACTGCCAGCTTCAATCCACCAGAAAGAAAGGAAAGAACTGACTGCTCAAATGTATATGTTTCATAAACATTGTGAAGGACTCTGCTTGCTTCCTGAAGTCCCTTATTAATGGTCTGCCAGAGAATGCAGTTAAAATATTGATTGCATATGGAATACAGTGACCATGGGATCAACTAGCTCACACATGTGCGATGTGGGGCATTTGAATCTGCTGAGGTTTCTTTTTCTGCATAACTCTTGAAGAGAAGTCATTTTTATTAGTTTGCTACTCTATATATTTGTATCATCTAAAATATATTTCAATCTAAAATAAGTCAAATAATTTGTGCATGGTTCTGTGTGTATACATATATACTTTTATAATTAGTTTTTTGAGCTGTACAGCCACTGTGCCTAGTGGACTGAAGCCATGTATTTAATATGTCATCTAACATATATGTATATAAATAAGTGTGTGGCAGATATTTATATAAAATATATACACTTTGTTGTCATATTGGTTCTATGTGAAATTGTTAGTTTTGAAATAACCTCAGGCCACAGATTTGTGGTAACTGTTTGAAGGCCTTACTTACTGTCCTCTTGATAACACATGCAGTAGCTCAGATTAAACCTTCGTGCCTTAGGTTATGAACAATCTTTTGTTCCAAAGAAGGCAAAGCCTCTATCTGACTTCATACCAAAGAATAAATTTCTCTGACTGTTCAAGTGAGTCTAAATATATTCTATTGACAAAATGGACACATGGGTTTTTTTCTAAATACCATACATAATTACACATTTTCACACTTAGAGGGTAATCCTATATGATACAGTTTCAATCTCTATTTTCTTAAGACTATCACCAGAAAAGAAGGAAAAAATTTTACATGAAAAGCAAAAAATGTAAAAATGATCACAGGCTTGGGAATTCCCACAAATCCAGAAAATTCCAGGTTAAGGCTTCAAGTTGAATCATTCCCAGGTCTAGCTCTAAAGTTAACAAGAGTACAAGGCAAACAATATCTTTGGGGACGAGCAGCATTACTTCAATTAGACCTTCTCCTGCAGGGTAAAATGACTCCTCCCCACACTACAAATAGACTCCGAGTATCTTAATAAGCAGGTAAACTCACAAGAACCAAAGCTGACACATGGATAAAAGCAGCAAGATCACAGTACACCAAAGTATCATAGATATCGAAGAAATAATTCAGTGTCTTAGATTTTTCTATAAAAATTTGTGGTCTATATAGGACTTCATTCACATGGACACTAACAATAAGGAGTATTTGCTTTGGCGGTAGTGGATCACACATCTGCTTATCTTGCGTTAAATACTTTTTTACATAATGTGTCTGAGTGATACAGATGTGAGTCAGGTAGCATTTGATCTCCCCACATTTACACAACTGAGATGCCCTGCAATCGGCATCCCCCGGGATCCTTGATTCACTGACGTTAGCCATACGAATCCAGCGTTCAAACTCAGAATAGCAAGCTCAGTTTCTGCATTATCAGTCAGCATAAATAATAAATCCAGAAAACGTGCTGTATTTGTTGTTGTTTCCTCCATGGGCTTTCCCACCATCTAATTTGATGTAGACTTCATCTCCTGGTTCCAGGTGAAGGACCACACTGTTACTGGCATAGTCGTAATTCTGGTCAGCATCTTGGGCAATTGCACTAGCACGCACCTATGTGAAACAAACAAGAATTAGAGTGCATAAAAGAGAATCCTCAAGTTGCCTCTTTTGCATAATAGGGGACTTGCTGCCATAGCATAGAATGTAGCACAGTGATGTTGCCTTTGGTCCCACAGCTTTAGAAGGAATTGCTGTAACAACTTCAACTATGTTACTAGAAAAGAGAAAATGTTGCTTTCATAAAGGACATTGCAGCAATCTTTCCTATCCTTGTAAATAAAGCATGGCAATCCAATTTTCTCTTAGATTACTGCTTTTTCTAATTCCTTGAGTCTCCACTTACAGTACTTTTTGAAATGGAAATGGCAGTATTGTTTTGCATTTTAATCTAAGCCAAATAGTAACATTCCAACCAACTGTGTACTTCAATGGCTCATCATAATTATTAGAAAACTGATATATCAAGTGGCAAAAGACCTAGGGAAATACCACTTTGCTATTATGTAGAAGGTGGGGGGGAGCTTTTTTGGTTTAGGGTTCTGGAACTCCTATACAAACAAAGCCCCTGTTAACCAGGCTTCTTCAGAATAGCTTAACTCATTAAAACATCTTTGTTTATATCTCCCACATTTTCAAGCTTCCATTTACTCTTTTATGTTTTTTTTTGGTCATTTAATTATATGTGCCTTTAAATCGATAATTTAATCTCAACAGATCCAAAAGTTTTAGAAGGAATTAAATTTGTGACCTGACATTGCTCAGTTCTCTAGGAGTTCCCCATGGTATTGTTGTGTCGCTTTTCCTATCCGTGTGATTGAGGATGGGAGCTGACTATAATCTGCTTATGTTCTGCCTTTAGTCTCATTAGATAGTTGATCAACATTTGCAAACAGTCAAATTGCCTATCATATCATGTCATATGGACATTCTGTCACACTCTCTCCTTCAGTTTCATTTAGACATATTTTGATTCTGTCATGGGAAAAAAATCTTTCAAAAGGCAGGCTTGTGTGTGATTTATTTCAGTAACACATCTTCTACTCTGTGGCTTGTTTCCATTCCACTGTAATGGTATTTCCCTGAATAACATAGCAAGTGATTTAGTGGTTTTTGTAAACCTGCACTATGTAATAATGTATGACTTGGGGTATAATATGCTAGGTTTTATCACTTGGCAAAATGAGAGAAATGAGACATAAGTCAAGAATTTCCATGCATGTCTTTCAAAATCTAACTGATGGGCTTTCAAATTAAATTTTCATGGGAAGATATGTTCCCACATTAATGCTGAAATGCCATAAAAGGAGAAGGCTCTTGGACACCACTGAACTTGCAAAGTAATTTGAGTAGTATTTTAACATTTTTTTTCTTCCTGAGTATCATATAGCAAAAGGAGAAAAGAGCTTAAAGGATTTAGAATTACTTATCACTATGCTAGCTGGCATTAATATAATGAAACCAATATGCTGCATGATTATACTCAAAAGCCTGGACTCAAATGTGTGCACCATAGTGAGGTGATCCATTTTAACCATTACATAACAATGCATTTGCACTTCACAATATTTCCTAGAAATTAACCTTCAGTTTGTAGAAGCCAAAGGCTTTAGTTCATTTATTTCACCTAGTTATTAATTCCCAGTGAAGAAAATCCACACAATGAGAATATCATCATTATAGTTTGACTTTTAGAACATGTGGACTTTTAATGGATGTGAAAAATTAAAATACAAACTAGCAATTAGCTACATCAGCAATATGTTAATTAATCATCAAACTAATATACTTCTCAGGTATTGCCAATGAGAATACAGTTTATTCAATAGTTTGGATATTTAGTATGTGTTCTATGAATATTGTCCATTATCATTGTTTTCTACATGGAACCTTTAGGAGCCAGGACTCATTGAAATCTTTGAGTTAGAGACTGTAATCTTTTAAAAATACACAGTGAAGTTTTTAATTCTATAGAATATAGTCACAAAACCAAGTAAATGTTACCACTTTTAATTCAGTAGGTAAAAACCACAGAAACCTGCTAATGCATTAGTGTGACTCCACACACTAGCAGGTTATCCTTAGCATGCTTTATTTCCTTTGTTGGAAAAAGCCAGTGTGGTGGCTATATAATAAAAAGCAATTCCCTAAGATTTTTACCTATGCAGCGCTAAAGGACTTTTTCAATTAAATACCCACCATCTGCCAGTGTCCATGATGTCAGAACGCCTGTCCACCCATCACACGCTAAGAGTATAATGGGACTTGGGATTTCAAGCTCTGATATGTATCCCACTGACTTCAGCAATTCTTCCTTGAAGCCATCAAACTATTGAGGAG